TAATTCCATTAATGGAAGGTCTCGGAGAATACAACTGAGCCACTCAGCTTCATCTCCTGTAACACAGAGTGCATAGAATTCAGATTCCATTGATGACTCTGCAATCATGGTCTACTTCTTAGACTTCCACGAGACGACAGCTCCACCCATGGTGAAGACAAAACCTCCAATATACCTACACTCATCTGGTTCTGAGCACCAGCTCGCATCTGAATAGCCTTAAATTATACCGGATATCCAGTGTAGAATAGGCCCAGACCTGTAGTTCCTTTCAAGTATCTCATCAATCTCTGAATAGCATCCCAATGAAGATTTCCAGGATTACTTGTGAACCTACTAAGCATTCCTACAGCGAATGCTATATCTGGCCTTGTGCAGCTCATCGCGTACATAAGACTTCCAATGATCTTTGAGTACCTTAGCTGCTCTACTGGTCTTTTGGTATTCGGTCGAAGATTCTTGTTGTAATCGTATGGCACTGATAGTTCTGGCAAGTCGTTGTAGCCATACTTCCTTAGCATGCTCTCGACATAATGCGATTGAGACAATCTAATACCCTCTTTAGAGTATATGATTTAGATTCCGAGAATCATGTCCGCAGTTCCAAGGTCATTCATGTTGAACTGTGTTGAAAGAAATTTCTTGGTAGATATCACTATCTCCAAATCACTCCTAATAATGAGCATATCATCCATATAGACACAAATGACCACTACTTTTCCTTCAGCGATCTTGATGTATAGGCACTTGTCAGATTTACTGACTTGATACCTATTGTTACGAACAACCCAATCGAACTTCTCATGCTAGAGTTTTGGTGCCTGCTTAAGTCCATATAAAGATTTAACAAGTTTACAAACCTTACCAGCTGTAGCATCAAGTCCTTTTGGTTTCTCCATGTAGATCTCTTCTGTGAGATCTCCATTGAGAAAGTCAGTCTTCATATCCATCTGATGTATAGCAAACCTTTTAATTGCCGCCTATGCGATAAGCACTCTGATGGTAGTGATCCTACAAACTGGTGCATAGATATCAAAGAAATCTATACCTTCTTTCTGAGAGAATCATTTCGCCACCAGTCTTGCTTTGTACTTTTCAATAGTACCATCAGGACGGAACTTCTTTTTGAAGATCCACTTGTAACTAATAGGCCTTGCACCTTCAGGTACTTCTACCAGCTCCCAAGTATGATTTTGGATCAATGAATCTATTATCTATAGCTTCTTTCCACAGAAGAACGTCTGTTGACTGCATTGCTTTTTGAAAAGTCTGTGGGTCTCCTTCCACATTATAGGTGATGAAGTCATCTCAAAAATCTTCTTGTCTCCTGATACGCTTGGAAGATGGTTTGATAACTCCTTCATTATTAATATTTTTAGTTTCTTGCAAAACTGGTTCATCTGTTGCATCTGACGTACTAGCATTCTTCACTATATTTTTTAGCAATAAGCCTTTATCTTTGATAAACTTATCCTTAAAGAATTCTGCATCTCGAGCTTCAATGATGGAGTTGGTTCCAAGGTCTAGGAACCTGCAAGCATTGCTATCTTTAGTGAAGCCAAGAAACACACATTTGTTAGCCTTTGGTCCGAGCTTAGGCCTTCTGATATCTGGAATTCGAACATATGCGAGACACCCCCACACTTTGAGATTATCCAAAGGGTCTAGATATCCCAATCATAACTGATAAGAAGTACTATTAATTTTGGAGTAGGGTACTCTGTTTAGAATCCAGTTTGTCATCAGCAAAGCCTCTCCCCAATAGCAGGTAGGAAGACCATATGTGATTAGCATCGAATTCACCATCTCGGTCAATGTACGATTCTTTCTTTATGCAATCCCATTAGATTGCGGAGAATACAGAGCGGTAGTTTCAGCAATGATTCTATGCTCCTTGAAGTATGCTTCTGACTCCTTAGATCGGTACTCTCCTCCTCTATCACTCCTGAGTTTTTTCACCTGCAGTCCAAGTTGCTTCTCCACTTGAGTTCGGAACTCGACAAACTTGCTGAAGGCTTCATCTTTAGATTTTTAACAGGTAAACATGACAGAAGCGAGAATGGTCGTTAATGAATGTGATGAAGTACTTCTTGTCGCCACGAGTGATGAAGCTCTTGAAGTCACAAGTATCTGAATGAATCAGATCCAACAGGTTGGTGCTTCTCGTGACACTTGAAAATGGCTTCCTCGTCAGCTTTGCTTGCACGCAGACTTTACACTTTTCAGGTTTGTTACTCCCACATTTTGGAAGTAATCCTAACTTCTCCATGCTAGACAGTTTTCTATAATTTACATGTCCTAGCCTATTATGCCATAATGCAGTGGAGTAAGCAGAATAGGATACTTTATTTATAACCAAGTTTGGTAAAATAGTACTGATTTTATATATGTCATCAGTACGATATGCACAACCAAAATACATTTTCTTAAAGGATAATACAATCTTACCTCCTTGGAAATCCAGCCTCATACCTGCATCACATAGCAGGCTTCCAGAGACTAAGTTTTTGGTAATTGAGGAAATATGTTTCACATTCTTCAATGTGAGAGTCTTTTCTGAAGAGAGAGTCAGCACCACATTCCCAGTTCCAAGAACAGGAACCATATAATGATCAGCCATTGATACGTTCTCTTTGGCAGCAACATAAGAAGAGAATAGATCTCTGTTGGAGCAGACATGATAAGTAGCACCTGTATCTAACCACCAACCAGAGATGTTGTTAGGAGTTGTTACCTGAAAGAGCATAGCCACACAATCATCAACTTGATTGACATTGTGTGTAGTTTCTTTCTTTGGTGCTTTGCAGTCCTTAGCAAAATATCATTGTTTCCCGCAATTGAAGCATTTGCCGCTCTTCTTAAACTCTTTCTTCTGAACGTTCAGGTTCTTTGAATTCTGGTTCTTCTTTCTGTTAAAAGACTTCTTCTTCTTGAAAGATAAATAATTACCCTTTTTAGAGTTAACAGATACCATGTTAGCAGACGCCTTCTGCTTAGCAAGGAGCTCAGTCTTTGTGCGAGTTCGAGTCTTGTCCTCGATCCGAATGAACATCTTCAAATCAGACAGAGTTACCTGTCTTTTCCTTCTTCGAATATCAGTGAAGAATGACATCCAAGATGGAAGAAGCTTATTGACAATTGCACCAGAGATGAAGGTTTGACAAAGACTGATCTTTTCATCCTTCAGCTTCATAACAAGCTTTTCAAGCTCTTTAACTTGAGGCAAAACCTCAGTGTCATCTTCAAACTTTAAGTCCAGAAATTTGTCAATGAGGTGAGATTTGGACAGCTTTTCCTCATCCTTGTACTGGTCCTCCAGAGCATTCAAGATTTCTTTTGCAGAAGGCTTGTTGGTGTAAGTATCTGCCAAATGATCGGCCAGACAGTTAAGAAGATAACTCCTGCAGAAGTAATCATCTCTAGCCCAAGAGGCTTCAGAGTCAGAATCTTCTTCAGAGTCAGGTTTCTCCTCAGAAACCACATAGTATATTTTCAGGAGTTGCATCCCGAAGATTACTTTCCGACGCCATGTGTTAAAGTTGGAACCGTCAAAATTCTCTAACTTAAGACAGTCCACTCCAAGAGTCCTCGCAGGATCCATGGTAGATCAAAATAATGCTTTAAGATTGTTGGCGCCTGTGGTTAAATATAGAATAATACAGATATATAACAGTAAAAACTGAACAGAAAACTGAAGTGCAGTAATTTAAAATTATTCAACTTAGCTACTGTGCGTTTGTAAAACGTTGTAAGGATCTCAATGCCAAATTGATTCCCGGAATAGCAGTCCAGTACTCTGGTGTGTACCGACCTTAGTACTGTCAAGATCTCCTCAATCTATAAGGCAAAGATCTCCTCGATCTATCAGGTAAAGATCTTCTCGATCTATAAGACCTTCTCGGTCTAGGCATTGTTCCTACGAGCACTAGCTATTCTACAACATATATATCTGTATATATTGATTGTTATTTTTGGAATGAATTTTCCTTAAGGATTTAAGGTCTATTTATAGCGTTTGGAAAAATACTATGCACTAATACAATAATATATTTTACTATGCATATGGGTCCCACGTCCAAAATTTTCTTCTGTGGGGCCCACCACTTTTGAAAAATTAAAGAAAACATGGGCTGCTGCAGCAACCCATGTGATGTTTGAAAAAAAATATTCAACAGGGTTAAGAGTCGAGCGCATACCTTGAGGGGGATCCGACGCCAGATCCTGTGAAGGATGGTCGTTGTCTAGGGTTTCGTGATCGGCGGCAGCCTCGACAACGGTGTTGGATCGCTCCACCTCCATAGCCTCAGCGTACGCCTTCTCGCTCCAGTCTTCATCTCCGTCGACTACCGGGACGGGGACGGCGGCGACTCTCGACTCCTCCTCCATCGCCGCGATTTCAAAGGGATAAGCCTCGATCGCTGTACTTATCCCTAGGGCTCCGCAAGAATCTAGGGGTTTTACAGGAGAGGAGATAAGGGATGGTGTCGGGGCGCACGTTAGCGAGCGTTGGGCTTTGAGGGAGGGGTTTTCGGTTTTTCCTGCGAGTAGAGAGTTAAAAGAGAAAACTCGACGACCCCAGGTGGGAATAACCGAGGACGAGACCTCGAGGTAAGGAAAACTCGAGCGGGAGAATGGGTTTGGGGGTGGGAACGAAGGAGGAAGGCTCAGAAATTTTCCGGGTTCCAGCGTCCAAGAGAAAATTGAAATGGGAGCTGAAATGTTGTGAGGGGGTTTGTTCGATATTTTAATAATAGGTTGTTAGATTTTTGGGTGTTTTTAGCTTATTTTAAGTGAAAAATAATTTTTGTAAAATGGTATAGTGTTATGTACTTTACAGAAAACTTTTTTATAAATTCAATGTTAAATCAAACACAGTATATGAAAATTGTGAAAAAAAATTTATTTATGAAACTGTCCATGTTGGAACTTTTCTCAAAACTTTTCTATAAAACACTATAACCAAACACCCCTAATAGAATATTTAATCTAAAAGTACAAAGTACAAGACAATGTTAACGAATTCAATACATAAGCCTATCTTGTCCTTTTCATTCTCAGTGTAAAGTCATATTTTTGTTAAACTGATTCCTCTTTTTCTTCAATTTCCTTTTGGCACTTTTGCCAAGTAGAAATCACAATTTCCTCCCTTTTCCTCCCATCCTTGCAACAAACCTTTTTCACCAACATTTTTTTCCTAAACAAAGAAAATTAACAAACAAAAAAACAAAAAACAAAAACAAAAACATATAGCCCATCGCTACTGTTGCCCTTTCACAAGACCCCCTTCAGCTTCCAAGTCCTCGGCACTCTCCACCTCCGCATCAAAACTGGCATGCACACTATACAAAACATACACCAAAACGGCCACCACCGTAAAAAACCCGAACCTGGCATAAGATGCCCCATCCATCGACCCCAACAGAACACATTTCAAAAATATCGGACACCGCCGGTATCCACGGCATCATCGGCACTCCCAGAACTCCGGCTCCTCGGCCTCCTCCGCCAGTCTCCTAAAACACATAGCACAACCGCCTGCGCCAGCCAGCGTGCACAGCCGCCAATATGCACCGACTTTCAACATTTCGGCTTTGGCAAAAACGGCCAGACAAGAGTAAAACGTCGAGAATGAAGGACAACGACAGTAGGAACGGCGACGCGTGCGTCGACATCGCTGGACCCACTGGGCCGTAACCGGTAAGATTATCAGCGTTGGCTACATGCTAGAATACGAAGAGAGTGCGGATGGCAGACGAGGTTCAGGAGGATTTCAACGGTCGCTAGAAGAGAGCGATGTGTGTGCGGTGAAGACCGCCGAGGAAGTGCGGAGGCGTTGCGGGGTGGAAGTTCTGGCGGTGGACTTTGGCGAGGCAGGAGGGGATGTGTTCGTCCCGGGCTATGACAGCAGAGGTTAGCGCTCTGGCCCAGGCATTGAGACGATGAGGCGTAAGTGAGGATGCCGAAGCTAGCGCCGACGCCGATCACGTTGGAGGCCCAGGCCCAGTTGGAGGACTTGAAGGCCGCAGAGAACGGAGAGTTGACGTCGATCTGCAATATTACGATATTAGTTATTACTCACCCGGTGCCCAGAATTTAGTATTACAGTATTGATATGCACATTGTGCTAATATTATGATTTGCCAAATATCCATTCAAAATGAACAGCCATATCAATACCGTTTTCTCATTGAAACCTAAAAATGAACAAAAATTAATCAGCAGTTACAAATAATAGCGCTGGAGCTAGAAATGCATGAATTTAATATAATAGGAGTAAAATTAAAATAAGCTTAAGTGAATAGGGGTTATCGTCTATCAATTTTTTAATATTACCTTTCTTGCTCTGAGATTCATGGTTCACGTAACTCTATATTTAAGATGTCTTTTGATATATCATGAGTAACGAACTAACGATCCTATCAGAACTAGACCACACCCTTAACAAGCAGGGGGCAATTCTGTCATTTACTTGTGAGGTTATCAGAACCCCGTACAGTGTGGGGTTCTGATAGGATTATTACTCATATATCATATGCTAGCAGAAATCTCAAAGTAAAATTAGTGGATAAGATTTAATCTGAATAATAATAGCTGCATATCAAAAAAGTGAGAAATAATTTAACTTGTATTTCGCAACCAATAACACATAATTTAGTAGAAACAGCTGGGGGAACAATAAAGTTGAGGCTTGGGCCAAAGTAGGCCGAATAAGGACAAGGAAAATCGGCGTAATGGATTAGTGAGGGTTTCGTAGATTCTGATGGCCCACCCCTTGGTAGACCAGTGATTGTGTCATATTGTCATCTAAGCATCCTACACTTTCTATTTTATTATGGAAACATAATACCGACAAAACAAGTTGTCTAATAAAAATGTTAACTAATGTTATCGTATTATATATTTGTAAAAATAAACGGCTTTACTCTTTTCATTGTGAAAGAGTAAATTTTGCGAGATATTTACAGTTCACAATGAAACAAAAACACAAGTTGCAGACCTAAGGAGGCATTTTGTAATTGGAGGCTTTTTATTAGTGATAGACCATCAATATTAGATATACAATAAAGGATGCAGCCCCAAGAATTAGGAATACAAATGACGATGCCATGATTCCAACCAATCACGTGAGAAAATTAAAGAAAATTCTTTATTTTAAAATTTTTTTTAAGCAAAACAATATCCATGTTTTATCACAAAACGCCGTAGAGAAGTGGATCACACACCAAAAGAGAGATCTGAAATAGTTCCCACATAAACTGAACCATATCCAAATATATTGATTATATACGAGGGTTGCACTCAATCACGTGAAAAAAGTAAAAAAGTTGTAACGTCATTCAGCATTTATTTGTCAATAACTTCCTCGTATGTACAATATCATTAGATGGGGCAAAAATACAAATTCTAAAGGAAACACACACCTTACAAAAATATGAGGGTTGTTGTTTTTTTTCCTTGTCATTGTTTGGTTCCTCGAAAATTGTAAAGAAAAATACAATAACAACTATAATTACAATGATTTGTTTCAAATGCAACTTTAATTTTATGAATTTAATTAACAAACAGAGTCAATATTTGCAAAAACAAATTGCAATTGACGGCCTTTACCCGTCATTGTATAAATAATAACTTTGCTTAAATTTAGAACTTTTTGGAAAATAAACAATTTCACCAAAATAAGTACCTACAGTTTTAACTGGGTCTATGCTTTATAAATAACAATTAGAGCTATGTTGACATTCGTAGGAGAGGTAAAATAAAGGTGTTCGTTTTTCTTTCTTTCTTTCTTTTTTAATAGAACTATGCCTAAAACTAATACAAACAAAAATTAATATACAATTTACACATCTTAATAATTGTTGTTGTTAAGAGTATAAAATTATAACTCTCAATACTCACCAAGAGTTATAGTATAGTGTTAGTATCAGAGCAACCTCGATTCAAATCATACTTGTCACTTATTTAAGCAACTTAAAAAAAAATTGACAATGCTGCCAGGCTATGACATATTTAGACCCTCTCCAGTACCAAATAGTAGTAGATCAACTATTCCTTTTTATCACAACCATCGATTATCTAAGATATGATTATGTTTCATTTTAAATTTAGCACTTATCATCATATATTCATAAATTTCACTCACTTTCTATTTTATGCTCAAGTAAACGAATAACAACCATTTGATAAATAATTAATAATAGAGATCAATATAGTGGTGTACTTTCTATGAAATTGCCCTCGATGCAAAAGGAGAATCCAATCGGAGAAAGTCTCCACAGCCCGTACTCACGTGACTATAACGCCAAAAGTAACGGACAAACGAGGGAGGGGGGGTGAGCTTACCGCATCGTAGGGTACGAGCATGGACATGGAAGCAGCCATCAAGCAATAAAGAACCGTCACAATCACAACAGAACCCGAAACCCCAATCGGAATATCCCGGGTCGGGTTCTTAACCTCCTCCGCCATCGTCGAAACCGCGTCGTACCCGATATAGCTGAGATACACCGTAGCTGCACCGTAGAATACACCCGAGGCCCCGTAGGGGAGGAATCCCCCCGGATTCCTGGTGGGGTCCGCTGGGTGAGTGAAGTTGCTGACGTCACCTCGCCAGAATCCCATCAGGATTATGAAGAGGATGAAGGCTATGTGGAGCGCCGTTAGTACCATGTTTAGGAGCGAGCTCTCCTTGGTACTGCAAAAAATATCGCAAGATTATATGGCCGATAATGCTATATAGTTAATGGGTGGTGTTACAAGGACCAAAAAATATGAGATCCTACATAGAACATGTGAGGTGTCGACTCTTTGTCTCATGAAGTGCATCATAAGACAGGAAACCAACACCTCACCTATACTATGTAGGTTCCCATGTTTTTGGGTCCGTATGGTATTTTTCATAGTTAATTGGTTGTAACTGTAAATGCAACAAGTGACACGTTCCAAAAATAACATATAATATGTTTATAGAAAGGTAATCTCAAATCTATCATTTGCGTATATACATACATACATACGTAGTTTTATGAAGAAAACTTATTACCAAATTCAGACGCGACGTGATGTCCGACTAGTCCAACAAATGAATTTTTTGTTACTTAAAATGTATTTTTTTATTGCAAGGTAAGTAATTGCTCATCTACAATTGTAAAAATCTACATTTTCGTACTTGTTGTAATCAACTAGTTAACGTCTAGCATCGTATCAATTTGTAATTTTCTATCATCAATAAAGAAACGGCAACATTTATTTCAGGCAGATCGACTACCTTATTATATCGCTGGATTTATATTTTGTAGATAGGCTGAAAACCCACCATGATAAAAAAAATAACAGTGATATTTTGATTTTACATTTTTTGTACGAAAAAGTGCGATAGCTTATAGACAATTCGGCATCTTACATCAGTTTTCTTTTGGATCCAATAATAGTTTTCAACTAAACATTGAAAATAAAAACCTGATAACAACACTTGTTGCTACCTGTAGCAGATGCAAACGGAGACGGCGACAACGGCGGCGCGGCGACAAATCGATCTGGTTGAAACCTGCCGGTGAGGGGCGCGACGACGTGAACCGCCACTTGGATAGCGTGTCGATTGCGATGGCGGTCCGAGATACGGCGGTGAAACCTCTGGCAACGGCGGCGTTGGAGAACACGTAGTCCATTATCAGATTCGCACCCGTTATAAAAGCCGCAAATTCCCCTAGATTAATCCAGCCAACAGAGAGAGATGAGGACCCCCCCACTATTTTAAAAAATTGCAGAGAATGGAGGCGGGGAGAAAATTGGAAAGCATGGGCCATCTATTAAAAATTAAGTAAAACAAGAATAAAAATCTAACAAAATTATAATTAGCGGTGAAAATAACATATGCCACCAGACCATCGCAAAATTTTCAGCTATTATCATCAAACAGTAATATACAGTTTATTCACAATCTGAAATTTTTTCTCCGTTGAATTAAAGTTGTAGGACATTTTTTTCAACAGAGCGAGTCATGCAGAGTGACTTATATGAGTTGAGAGACTAAATTAACAGTTTCGAACCGTTTGAGAGCAAAAAGTAAACAATCGAAAATAATAATAATATCACTACTATCGGCAAAAAAAAAAAAAAAAAACCATAAAACTAATTTTGACTGCTTTTATTGGAATTTCAAGCTCACCGAAGGTAACTCTAAGGTAGCTGAAAGCACCGCCAGCAACAGGCATATCAACGGCGAACTCCGTGTAACAAAACGCCGACAGAAGCGCGCAGAGCCCAGCAATGGCGTAAGAAACGACGACCGCAGGCCCTGCGAAGTCTCGGGCGGCGCGCTCGCTGTGAGGAAGACCCGGCCCGCCATGGCCGCCGATGCCGAAGCCAACGAGATCGACCCAGGTAAGGGTTTTGGCCATGTCGGGCCCGGATCGGGCACGGACCCGACTCATCTCGTCGAAGGTGGTGGCGACTGAACCGGCGCGGTGAGCGAACCGGCGTGGGGTTTGGGCCAGGGCGTGGAAGTAAGATTTGAGGCTGGAGAAAGAAGAGGAATTGGAGTCGGATTGCTCCATATCTCTCTCTCTCTCTCTCTCTCTCTCTCTCTCTCTAAATTTTTTTTGGGGGGGTTTCGGTTTTAGATTAGAGAGAGGAGGGGCGTTGGGTCTGGGGGTTATAAAGGAAACGGGGTCGGCATGATTGATGAGAGAGGAGAGAGGAGAGAGGAGAGAGAGGGAGAGTGTGTGTGTGAAACGACCACTAAATTTTGGCAAGAGAAAGAGAGAAGGGGGATTCGGGTAGGCTTTTGAAGATACTAATAAATGTTTATTATTCAATTAGTTTGCACTTTGTAGTCAGAATTTAAGGAAAATTTCTTAGGTGTTCAATGAGCACCAGTGCGTCATACTCTATACCAATACGAATAGATCATCTGGCCTTAAATACATAAAAAAAAGAGAAGATGGTGGTATCCATTAATATTTGGTAAATGATTTAAGGACCCAAAATATGGGATCAATGGAGGGGACACGTGAGGTGTCACCTCCCTATTGTATAATGAGTTGATCATGCTAACTCATGCCAACTCATTATGCAATAGGGAGGGGACAGCTCACCTGACCCCTCCCTTGGTCCCATATTTTGGGTCCCCGTAGCAACACTCTTAATATTTATTGTGTTACAAGTTCTATCCTATTAGTGTGGTGTATGGGGCGTTTCTACAGGGAGCCCAAATAGGGGATTCAGGGGGGACAGGTGGGTTGTCCCCCCCCTCCGGTTAGATGATGAACAGTGCATCATCCAACCGGAGGGGGACAACTCACTTGTCCCCCTGGGTTTCCTATTTGGGATCGCCGAGGCATTAATCGTGGTTGTATGCCCCATGATGCTCATAGAGCATCCCAGAATTTCTCAAATTTAATAGTTTGGAAAGTATCTAATTAATGTGGTCCAAGGTATTAAATATTTGGATTTCTTTTAGAAGTTCAAAATGTTTTTCTAACAGTCATCATATTTAAGAAGAAGGGAGAAGTGAGAATAAGTAAGAAGCGCTAGGATTTTTTTAGGCTCCGTTTAGATATTATGGTGTTTCATTTGTTTTCATGGTGTTTTTGCCAAAATAAAATATCGTGCATTTGGAAATCATAGTGTTTTTTGAGCTAAATCATCCTTAAACAAATAATACAGTACTTATTTCAAAACACCTTTTAGGGGTTTTAAGTTTAGTGTTTTGGTTTAAGTTTGAGGAGATGTTAATATAATATCTAACATAATATATTAAATGTAATTAATATATAGGTATGATCAACATGCTTATTATATTATACTATACTATACTATATTATAATTATCTACCATATTAGTAATATTTATTAAATAATATAAAATATCTTATATAATAATATGATAACATATTAAATACTAGTATTTAATACGTTGAAATGTATTATATAATAATAAATAACAATAATATGAAAATAAACTAATAAAAAATAATAAAAAAACTTATTGATAATAATTAATGATATGATAATATACTATACAATATTAATATCACTATAATATTATTAGATTTTTAGTAAATAAATTGTAATAAATCAATAATTATAAAAAATTATATAATAGAAACATATTTAATAATAAGGTAATAATATAATAATAATATAATAATAATATGATAATAATATATTGGATAGTAAATGTAATATAATATATAAAATATTAATATATGTTATAATAAATAATGTAATATATTATAAAGTAAAATAATTTTTAATACTAAAATAATTTATTGCTAACAAAATGTTAATATAAAAATAATATATTTTATAATATAATAATATTTATTTATATCATAAATTATTAATATATTATTAAAGATACTATCCATTCTAAAGTAATTTATTGTATTATAAATAGTAAAGCAAATTAAATGTATTAAAACATCAATTCTCCTTCAAATATAGAGGAGTGGTTATGATTTCTAAATCAAATGTAATTAGATTATTTTTTAAGTACAGAGAAGTAGATATGATTCCTAATTTTAAGTGTACCGTAATTAAATCAAATGTGTTAAGACTTAGAGGAAGACAAGTTTAAAATATGATGCTTAAAAAAACAGGGGACCGTGCTTTGTATGGGGTGCATACTAGTTATTGTTATAATGAGTCAAACTAGTGTTGACCAAAAACACTCAACATGGTGTTTTGAAAACACTTTAAGGAAAAACATAACAACATGATGTTTTTTTACAAAAACACTATAAGAAAAACATCATGGTATCCAAATGAAGCCTTAGAATTTCAAATGGTTTTTCCAATAGTCATCATATTTAAGAAGAAGAGAGAACTGAGAATTAATAAGAAACATGAGGTCTCATTCTCGAGGAGTCTCTTAAATATTTAATATTTCTAGTCTTCTGCTATTAAGTCCTTGAAATCTTGTAAGGGACTTTTGTCTTTAGACCAAAAGCTTACTATAATTTATATTTAAACCAAATTACTTTTCTTTGTATCATTAGTCCTAACTGACTTTTTAGTTAACAAGTATAATGCACGTGATTTGTATGTGAATGTACATATTTTAAATATTAAATTTCTTATTAAATAGTAAAACTATGTGTTAATTAATAGATAAAATTGTATAATAAGATGGTGACAACTCATCTCATATCATCTCCTAAAAATAAACCAAATACAAGAAATGAGTCACATCATCCAACTCATCTCATCTCCATCACATCTCATCTTTAAAAATTACTCACATCATCTAATAATATGGTGACAACTCATCTCATCTCATTAATATTTTATTTCCACTCATTTCCTCCAAACAGCTAGAAATCGATTTCCTTAAGTGTGAGTCATATCATCCAATAATATAATAACAACTTATCTTATCTCATTTATTTTCTTATTTTTATGAATGAACCAAACACAAAAAAAACCTATTACAGGAAATAGGTTTCTTATAATTTATTTTCTTATTTTTTTTAGCCAACCAAACAACCTCAAAACAAGTTTTCTTAAAAAATCACACACGTCATCTAATAATAATGTGACAACTCATCTCTCATTCTTTGATTTCCTTTTTTTTAGCCAACCAAGTAATCTCAAAACAATTTTTCTTAGAAATAGGTTACCTATTCTTTGATTTCCCTCTTTTCTTAGGCAAACAAACAACCCCTAAAAAGAAATGTATAAACTAATTATTATTGTGTAGTTATTGTAATTGAATGGTTTTCTTATAATGATCGTCTAGTTTTAACATTTTCTTAAATAAGTATCCAAATCTAAAATTATTTTTAAATAAAATTATTTATTCTATAAGTTCTCTTAAATATACCCCTCAAACTTGGAAGTTGTTAACTTAACTCTAAATAAACCAAGGTGCATTAATCTTGCTAGTTTTTTCCTGATGTTACCTTGATAGTTACACTTGATACCTGCAATATATTACAATAGTTATTTCCCATTATAATTATTTAATAAGGTAAATTACACTAAACCCGTATGAACTTTTAACCCATATGAAGTTTTAGAATTACACTAAACCCTAAGGACTTTTCTGTTTTAAAGAAGACCCCGCAATAACTTTCTAAATTTTGTAAATAACCCCTATGAATTAGAACTAAAAAATGGAATAACAAGGCATTTTGAATGTTATTGGAGGTTTGGTGTAATTTATTTAAAAGATATTGGGGGCTTTCTATAAAAGTTATTAGGAGTTTAGCGTGATTTTAAAAGTTCATATGATCTATTTGTTGTAAAATGCTGAAAGTTCGTGAAGGCTTATTGTAATTTACCGTATTTAATATTATAATTCTTATTTCAAGAAATACTATTAAAATAATTATACTGTCTATATACTACAAAATATTTCTCAAATCTTTAACATTTTTGAATTAGTTACTCATAAAATTAAAATTACTATTAGGTCCAAAAAGATCTTACTGAGTTCAAACTAGTCTTCCTCCTCCAGAATTCTCGATCAATATGATAGCTTGGTTGGGGTAATGACTAATCATGGTTATTTATAAGGTAGAGGGAGGGGGGTATTGAAGAATGGGTAGGAGGGTGAAACCGGCCATTTGAGAAAGGAAATTGCATTTAAGAGTATGTGGATATTAATTGTGTGTAAGTGAGTTCCATTGCAACATGTACAAGCAAACATAAAAACATAGTTGACATTTCATCTCAAAAATCTATATCTATCTATCCATATTCATTCATACTACAATAAAAAGAGGATTGAGGTGATAAAACTTTTAATTTTCTTTTTTGCCCTCTCAAATTTTGATAAATGTTTACTATGCTATTATCTCTAATTAATCTTTCATTAAATAATTATAACATTTTATTAATTATGCACCTTTTCACCTTCCTAATTAACTATAATTATCAATAATCAATAATATTATAAACATTAATTGTATAAATAAAATAAGAAATTATAAAATAAGTATACACAATCATTAGTAGCAACAAATTAAATTATTATAATAATTATTTATTAATTGTAATAAAGTAATTAAAATAATAGTATAAATAGAATAGTATATTACTAAATACTATTAAGAATTATACTATAATTCAATGAGTTATAAAATAAATAGAATAAATTTTGAATCGCATAAATAGTGTAATTATTTTAATAGTATCACATAAATTATGAATTACACTATTTATTTAGTATTATATTATTAATTAAATTAAATAAATAATTTAATATTATTTTTAGAGTATTTCCTTAAAGATTATTACATGATACTGAATAATCTATACTTGGTAACGATTGAAAACTAATATTTTTAAAATATATATAATATTAACTATTAATTGTTAATAATATTATAATAAAAATTAATAAAATACTTATAATGCTAGATTATTTAAAAAAAATAATTAAAAATTAAATTAGATAAATATTTTAAACTGAAATTTGAACATCAATTTATCATCGTTTTGTAAAGGAAAATTACACTGTGGGGTTTGTTTCAAGCCTTTTTTTGTCTTTAGTTTCAAGTCAAATATCAAACACACTGGATCAAATTTGTTTCGATTCAAGAACAAATATGTCTGTGCTGGAAAGTTAATTGTATGGGTGGATAGATATTTGTACGAGTTTAAGGTCTCTTAATCTTCTCCGATGTCTAATCAGCTAGGAGGAAGCAGATTCTTGCACATGTGACGCCCATTAGAGATCTAGAGGCGACTTTTCCTAATGTACCCTTTGACGTTTAAATCGGCGATAGATTAAGCAAGTTTGTAGAAAT